TATATATATATATATATATATATATATATAAGCAAATATGTGGATATAGATCCAACAGTATGAAGAAAATATGGAAAACAAAAATTAAAATTAGACGATATTCAAGTCAACATGAAAAGACGATAGACATAAGACTAATCTAATTTTAATTATGTTTTAATAACTGTGTTCTGAAGACCGAAATGTCTGACGTCGACATTGAAACATTAAAACAGCATACTTGCATATTCGGATTTTTGTTTTTCCATATTTTTCTTCATATATATATATATATATATGTAAGTTTTATAATTAAATTTACAATTTTAGTTTTGAAACACAGAATTTTTTTTTAAGACCTGGGCGTAGATTAATATTTGGGTAATTTTCCTTCTGAGTGAGTTATTTTCTTTTTTTTATGAGTGTAGCAATTTTAAAATCAAAATTGTGGTTGAATTTATTTCTATGTATGACTAGTGCATTATCTAAGCTGTTTTTGTGAGGTCTCTTTTGTGCTCATAAATACGTTTTTTTAAATTTCTACTTGTTTCTCCAATATATTGTGAGAGTGACGCCATTGAATATTACCCAAATATTAACCTATGCCCAGGTTTTTTCCCTATTTCGCCTTTCTTAACAGAAATACTACTCTCCCAAATAAACGTACAAAACAGTATCAAGAAATCAAAAGAAAATGGCTGATTCCACCAACACAGCAATAAAAACTATATCTCCACACGTGACAGTAATTGACGTAATTTCAGTTAACAGTATGAAAATAGCATTCTCTAAATTCTTCCAGTTGCTAAGGACATTTTGTTTTGTTAATATTAGTTACTTTGTTTAATAAATTTATTTCTTTTCGCCTTGAAAAAGTCTACATCGGACGAAACGCGTCGGCTACTATTACAGTTTTCCTATTGTCTTTTACATTTATAAATATTGTCTTTTTCTACAGTTTAACTCTGAGAAATTTTTCATATATTAATTGCAGATGTAGATATATACATACATATATATCAACAACTTGAAATAGATGAATGTATTATTACACCAGGAAAATAATAAACAAAATCTAAATTTCTCGAGGCCCTCTATATCTAAATCCAACAATCAAAATTTGTTACGAATGTAGCAACAACGTATTAACGTATTAAAAGTGCATAAATTTTCCATATTAATGTCAATACAACAAAGTAGCTTATATAGATGGACCAATACTATTTAATTATTATACTTTCAATGAACAGGATTCAAGTAAAAACAAAAAAACTCCAAAGAAAACATTGAAATAACATACAAGAGAAAAATGCAATAAAATTATTTTCAATGTATAGATTAAGGGAAAGAGGTTGTTCCCCTTTAATTGTATTTTGGTTTGTAATTGAATGTTCGAAGGAAGTTTTTTTTGAGAGAAAAATGTTCAAGAACAAAGGACTGTTTGTTAGAATAGATAACGCAAGAATGCAATTGATCAGAAATGTGTTGTCTTATAGAATGGTCCGAAATTAACAGAGTCCTGTTTGATTGAACTTGGCTAAGTCACAGAGAGAAGTGTGAGTTTATATTACAAAATTCTGTGTCTGTGTGTGCGTTTGAAATGTTGAGTAAGATCGTGGACTCGTTTGGACAGGCGAAACTTACTGGATCCTACTGATGATTTGTGAAAAAGTCGCCTCTTTTAAGGAAAAAGAATAGGTTCCCACAGAAGTGCGGGAAAAGGTTAATCTTGCACTAAAATATGTGATTGGTTAAAAATTAACCAATCAATACATTCGTACTAACAAAACAGGCAAGCAAGCTCAAAACTGAAGGATTCAAAGAAATGACTGCGATGGACAAATTGTCCTATAGAAAATTAGAAATTAAAATTTATTAGCCAATCGCAGACTTATAAAATGTGCCCGTAGTGATGGAAAAACATGAGGAGCATTATACATACAGCTCGTTTAGGTAGTTTGAAACAGCTTGTATTGATTTTTGCCAAAAAAAAAAAAAAAGCATGGAAAACATACAACGGATGAATTTTAAAATTGAAACTCAAAAAAAGAACGCGTTTACAACGGATGTTTTTTTAAAAAAATCACTATGACAACGAAATGCAGATTTTATCGCAGTTAAAATAAGTTTGTCTTTGCAATTTATCCCTGACTTATTAGACAACTGGAAAGAATCAGAAGAAAGAAGTATAGTCATATTATATAATGAAACAAACGCAAACACACACGCACGCACACACGCACGCACGCACGCACGCACAAAATATCTTCAGATTCTGAGTAGCGACTGACCGTTACATAATTTAAATTTTAATAAAATATCTGGTTAACACAATGCTGGCGCAGTCCATATATTATACGGAGATTACTGGTTTTTGTTTGTTTGTTTTTTAAATATAGATATATACAATGTATTTAAATTAGACAGGATTTATATTTTATATTTAAAATAAACGGGGATTAACTTTTTTTTAAATTTTAGAAACATCCAAAAATCGATATCCTCTCATAACAATATTATACTAAATAAATACATCTCCAGCAAAAATAACAACGTTAATCAATTTAGAAAAAAATAAATGCAGCTGCCTAACAATACGATCTGTTCCTTAAACAGCCAGTGTATGACTAATAATTTTGTATACTGAGCGAGCATACATTCCGATAACCATCTCAAATTTTATATTGGTTCCACTGATAATCCTTGGAAATTTCGTTTCTATCATCATCAAATGACTTTAGGCAATGTAAGATACATGACTAGCACTGGTCTTTCCATTTCTGGCAATTAAAGAAAGGTGGTAATATACCCATTTTCACGTGGGATATTGTAGCTAAAACCAAATCTTACAATGGAAAAGACATCAGACATCAAAAATTAGCGATCTTAAAACACTTAAAAAGTCCCAACTTATTAAACAAGATAAATATATCGATGTTCACATGTAAAACTAAATACCTGTTGAAATACGTTGATCTAGGTTAATTTCTACTGTAGATTATAACTTTTCATTTTTTCTCTTCTGTTTACTTATCTTATGTCAAGCATATATAATTTTTTAAAAATTATAGTTTTAGGTTCGTTTATTTTAATACAAAAACCTAAAAAGAAGATAATTAGCCCACGTTTATTTTGCATACAACATTTAATTCCCGGTTATTTTAAATATAAAACATAAATCCCGCCTATCTTGAATACAAAACTTTTTTTTATTTTTCATTTTAAATAGTTTTTTGGTTCATTTATTTTTAGGCAGTTTATAAAAAACAGAAATCCCCGTTTATGTTAATATAAAATATAAATCTCGTCTATTTTAAATAATAATTTTTAAAAAATTTTTGTTTTTAATAATAAGTTGTTTTTTTTTATAGCTTTAGGTCCGTTTATTTTTATGCATATTTTTTTAAAATACAATTAATCTTCGTTTATTTTAAATATAAAAAAAAAAAATATTTATCCCCGTTTATTTTGAATATAAAGTATAAATCACGCTATTTTATTTTAAATACAACGCGCACACACACAGATATATATATATATATATATATATATATATATATATATATATATATATATATATATATATATATATGGACTCTCACGTCGGTTTCGACGTATGAGGATCTGACAACTTTATAACTTTAGGTTAGTTTATTTTAAATATTTTTTAAATACACACACACACAGTTTATTTTAAATATATATATATATATATATATATATATATATATATATATATATATATATATATAATGGACTCTCCTGTCGGTTTCGATGTATGAGGATCTGAAAACTTAACCAATTGATTCAGTTATGAAATTTTGTGCAATATTCTTAAGTTATAAGAATGAACGAATCAAGATAAACCGCTAGAAAACGTACACAAATGATTTGATTAAAGTGGTGAGGGCTTGTGCAGAACCATCTACACATTTCGGAACATTTGATACACTCAGTCGATGCAAATAAATGCCACAGACGAAGCAGACAATAAACCTCAGGCTTTTCGTGCAAGAGTTTTTCATCTCCTAGACCAGTCGTGTTCTATAGCTGTAAAGAGCTTGGTCAGCCCATACATATATATTAAATAAAAACCAGTAATCCCTATATAATATATCGTATGTGCCATATATATACATGGATATTAATTACTGAGATAGATACATACATACATATCAACAAATTTAGATATTAGTTTGTCACACATGAAATGACGCACTTTATAGGAAATGAATAAAATGTAAATTATTTAGTTGAAATAGGCACCATGTTGATAAATGACTGTTCGCCAACGGACCTCTAAATTCTTTATGCTATGATTCTTTGATGTAATAAACAGTTCAAAATAATTTTGATACTCAAAGTTTACCTCTTCCTTATTAGAGATTGCTTTATTACGTATGAAAAGGTCAAATAAGTGATAATCAGTAAGAGATATATCAAGTGTATACGGAGGATGAGGCAAAATTTCATAATTTAGGCTATGCAGCTCTTAGATGATTGAGAAGAGGCTGGCTGTGGGTTGTTATACAGTAAAATTGGGCCATTCCTATTCACATGTCTGAGATGTTTCTTTTTTAATTTTTCGTGCATACACTCAATTTCTCCACAATACGACGTTGCTGTTAGTGTTTTCCCTTGATGAAAGAATGAATAATGAATAAACCCTTTGAAAATTCATCATGCCGTAACCATTAACTTTTAGGGTGCAGTGGAGGTTTGGGGTATTGTTTTAGTGATTTTCACTTGCATCTAACCACTGGCCTACTCTCTTACTTTTGTCAAAGAAGATCCCTTTCTAATCACATGTAATGATTTGATTAAAACATGGTACTTTTTCCCCAGTTTGTATTCATATAGTAACATTAATCGACATTGTTTAATTGTAATAATTTTCATTGGGCTTATAAGTAACAAATTATTAAAAGAAAAATTATCTGGAAAGAAAAAGATTCAGGAATAAGTCAATATTATACTAAGAAGGTTACATCTTTAGACGACCAGATCAAAAATGCGTCATTTTAATTATGACAATAGATAGATAGATAGATAGATAGATAGATAGATAGATAGATACTCAGAACAAAATAGATATAAACAATTTGAAAAATAAATGGCCGCCGTACCTTTCTGACGTGACGAACTGTCGTAAATACACAAATGTAATAAACACAATGAGGATTTTTTCATCAAATATAAATATTTACAGATTTCAAACTAATCGACATTTTATTTGTTTAAATTATCAGATTTGAGAATTTTCAATTCAGTATTATTGGAAAATCGAACAAGTGAAATGTGGTAGCATCTGCTTCACCATATCAAATCCTGTCAAGAGCAACTCGACACAGGAAATGTTTTAGGAGCTAGTCTCGCCTGTTGTTAGGAGTGTGAACCGGACGATAAGCGAACCTATCTACTCCTATTATTGATTGATTGATTCGTTTTCTACGGCTTGTCAACTCTTTGAAGGTTATTTAAAGGCAGAAAATATTTTTAGATTGTTAGATGTTTTTAGATACTAATATTTCAGGGATAAAAGTCTTACTTAGTAACTTTACAGTCAATGAATGCTGAATGTACCCTTTATGGTTGTCTTATTCATTCATTTTCTACGGCTTATCAACCCTTTTGAAGGTTATCTATCGCCAGAAAAATATATTTATTTTTTTAGATTATAAGATTTGGTGGGAGGATAATAATGGTCTAGTGATATAAATTTTACTAATTAATCAATATCCGGAGCTGGATTCATACCTTTCCCAATTCTGAGCTATTATCTATTATACCACCGGCAAAATCAAGCTTAAAGCACCTGTTATTCCTAAATTTCTGATAATGTTGTGTATGGATGTCCGTATTTACAAATATCGGCACGTTTATACACACTCAAAAACAAATTCAAAATTCTTTTTAAAATACTTGAAATCACTGAATTGTAGTAAGCTTTTCACTGAATATCTTGATCAGATGAACTCTATCGATCAACAGAGTCATATATGTCTGGTGAGACCCCAAAAACGACACTTTCCAAAGCTCGTCAGAAGTATGATCGAGTGGAGAGAAACGAGAATCCCAATCTGTTAACTATTTTCTCAGATTATACATTGGGCAGATTGATTGATTGATTCATTCATTTTTTACGGTCTATCAACACTTTTGCAGGCCAGAAATTTTTTTATATTGTAATAATTTTTTTTTTAGATAATAATGATTTAATGATACAAGTCTTACTAATAGCCGGGAGAAAGGGAAGAGCTGGATTCCTTCCTTTCCCAAAGGTAATTGTGCGTAAGCAAATGTAACGTAAGATTGTAGAAATAACAGGGATGGATCCATAGAGCTGTGATTAAGTTGGATGTTGTCTCCAGAAGATGTTAAATATAGCTTTCAGTATCGGTGTGTAGGTTCCATCAAGTTTAGACTGTAGGGTTTTAGTTAATATCCTGGCAGTGGCACTAAACATTAACACCGCCTCTACAGTGCCTCGAAAGACTCTCCGCTTGAGGTTGTCTGGTAGATCAGATTTCTAGATTACATTCATTTTATTCAAGGCGGTCCAGGCTTTAGTTATACGAATTTTCACATGGTTTCAGTAGAATTTATCTCGTTTCCTAGGCATGTAAAAGATTCGACAGATTTTATTCATTCACTTGAGAAAGTTCGTATTGAGCTTTATGTTACACTACACTACCAAAAACAAAAGGTTTGACTTGAAAACACATCAGTACTAGAACGAGCGATGACAGTGGATGTGAGAGACTAATTTCCGGAAAAAAACTGCTTTAAATAAAAGATTTTATGAATTTCAACCAACAGTAAAGTAACTGTTCAGTCAATCAATGCTGAATGTATTCACGATTCATTCATTTTCTACGTCTTATCAAACGTTTTGTAGGTTATTTAAGGTCAGAAAATATTTATGTTTTAGATTGTAGGATTTTTTGCAGGAGATATAGTAATGGTTTAGTGATACTAATTAACCCATAGCTGGGAAGGAGAAGAGATGGAATCATACCTTTCCCAAGTGTATTTGTGCCGAAACGAATATAACGATCCCAAAGGGAATTGGACCTCGGCTCGCCGATTAACAATTCTGAACCATTATCCATTACACCACCCACACATCTAAGCTTACAGCATCTGGTATTTTCAAGTGGTCACCTATCTAGGTAGTGACCAGGCTCAACTTCGGTGATTATACGGAAACCAGTGTTTCAATGTGATATTGCCGTAAGCCTATATAAGTGGGAAACATGAAGAGATGGATCTAGAATATTTAAATATACTACACCAACTTACAAATGAATCTCTTAATCGAAAACGATGCTCTTTTTCCATTTAACGATCACTGTATCGCTGACGTGGGGTGGGTATGCTGATGACATTCGTATTCATAGTTCGTATAAGAAAGATCGTGAACAAAAATCACTATTCTTTACCAAATATACCAAGAGTAGGACTTTCCAAATTAGAAACTACTGGTACTGGAATATCAATAATAATGGCATATACACTGAATCCATCATGAAAAAGCAGAAGGTGAAATTAATAAATTATAAACACTGTAAATACTTGGGTTTCTTGGTCAGTTATAACAAACTTTGTATAGAAGATAAGGAATTTCAATACATGATAGATTTGCCCTATGGGTACTTTTGTCCAACGCCGTAAGATTCTTCTTCCTATTCGATCATCGCTCTCCATAATTTTCTGTCCTTTGTAGCTCTCAATAAATTTTGTCTTTTTGTTATCTCTCCTAAACCCTGTTCCGCCATACATCTAAAATACAAGCGGTTACTGAGTGTGAAAAATAAGAAAAAAGGGTGTCATATTGGACATAAATTAATGGTATCGTCCGTTTATGTAAATAAGCGGAGTTAAGCGGAGTTAAGCGAAGTTGAGGAGAGTTAGCATTAAAGCAATTGTAAATTGTATCTTCGTGTAGTAAACTTTCTATTTCATTACGTACCTACGAGTTTGTCGTCCGTATTTATTTCTCTCTATTATCTCGGAAACACGAGATACAACAGATTGAAAATAGCAAGAACAATAGATAAGTAATCAAGAAGATAATCGATAACGATTGACATTGTATTTAAGTTTTTGAAGATCAAAGTTGGCTGGAAAACATGTTGAAATCGTTCCATAAACGAAAAGTGAGAGTCATTAAGCTAAAATATTTAACGATAAAATAAAGGAATAAAAATACGGGAGAATATTTTTTTTAGTCGTGGATTTCAATCGTTAAATTAAGAATTTAAATTCATCAGAAAATTCAATAGCAAAACCTATTCAAATAGGAAAACGGGTAGGGATATTTAAAGGTATATTTCCTACCCGGGTATTTATTCCCATTTTTGTTTTTAATTTGTTTGATTTTGTTTAGTGGCATATCAATCGCTATGCGTTACTTGTTTTGTATGTAATTTTATGATTCAACTAGAAACATTTTGTACGTAATTTTATGATTCAACTAGACATATTTTGTACGTAATTTTATGCTTTCAAAGTAAAGGTATGTTTTATAGATACATATTTTGTAGATCATAAAATGTTTTGTTAGTAATTTTACTATAAAAATGTATTGTTATATATTTTTGATGTTGTCATTTTGATATAAAAATGATTTGTTGTTCATTTTGTTATACAAATATACTGTTGATTTTTTTTTTTGCAGGGGAGGTCACTATTTACCCATAGCTGGGACCCTAACAGATGCTACTACACCGGGTCAACGTGGTTCTGGGAACAACAGCAATTAAGAGGTGGTTCCACGCTCCCCAAAACTTCCAAATTACCGGATGTAGTTTATCGTCAAACCCAGGACACCCCATTTATGTAAATTATTTCTACAAATACTTTACAAAATGGAACAAAATCCCATTTTTTTTTTTTTTTTTTTTTTGGCTTACCTTTCTTTTTGCTGTTTTTGTTTCAGATGCAACCATCGATCTTTAAGTTATCTTATTCTCTTGATAATTTCGTTGATGCTCTTTCTCTCGGGGATTTTTCTGTCTTCCTCTTTTTCACCTCGAATAATCTCTCTTTTCTTGCTTTCTTCTCTTTCTTCACTTTCATTCCTTTCATTGCTATTGTTTTCTTTTTCGTCCTCTTCATTTACTCCATTTTCAGTGCTTTTTTCCTCGTCTTTATTCTTTCTTGTCTCAGTTTTTAGTTCTCTCATGAGTTTTGACCACTTGCGTCTATTACTTTTCGGTCTGGCCGCATCACTCACAATCAGTGACGCAAATATCACCGCGACAAAAAGTAAAGCCAATATTTGTCGATTCATCATTCAAAAACCTTTAAAAAGATTGTTTAAACATTTAAATCAATTTCTCAATCATTGTATTGTTTGCAATTTTTTCTTACTCAGTCAAGATATTCCCTGAGCTAAATTATTCTATTTTTATGAATGTCACTGATATTTATCACATAATTTGATGGTCTATGCTAGTAGCAGTTGGTGTACGTGCACTAGAAAACAAACATTCGGGTACTTGTTTTAAGGTACAAAACTCTGATTACTAGCATAAGGGTCCAATCAGAATTTTGGTGCGCTGTGCGATATACTGTTTAGTAGCGATTGGAAAAAGCGTGGTTACAGTTAGTTACTTAATGGCTTTCCTAAGAAAGTTAGTAATGTTAAATCTCGAAATAAAAATAATAGTAAAAACAGCATCATGAGCACACACGAAGATAAGTATATATATATATATATATATATATATATATATATATATATATATATATATGTATGTATGTGCGTGTGTGTGTATACTCACACACACTGAATTTTAAATTTAACTGTCATATTTAAATTTATAACTTTAGTTTCAGTTTTAAAACAGAAATTTTCTGCGTCGCGATGGAATCATATTTTTCAAAAAGAAAATAATTATAAAGTTATGCTCTACTGTTTGTATCAGGCACTGTTTTTTTTTTAAATGAAAATAATTGCTCAGAATACCGGATTACAAACCTTTTTTTTCTTATTATATATATATATATATATATATATATATATATATAATATGATGGATATTAATGATGCGATAGATATACATATATATATAAAAATTTGAAATATATATCTATATATATATATATATATATATACATTCATACATGTTTCATTAA